GCCTTCATGCTGTTCTGCATCAGCGTCACCCGCTACATGGCCATCGCCCACCACCGCTTCTACGCCAAACGCATGACACTCTGGACATGTGCAGCTGTGATCTGCATGGCCTGGACCCTATCTGTGGCCATGGCCTTCCCACCTGTCTTCGATGTGGGCACCTACAAGTTTATCCGTGAGGAGGACCAGTGCATCTTTGAGCATCGCTACTTCAAGGCCAATGACACACTGGGTTTCATGCTTATGTTGGCTGTGCTCATGGCAGCTACACATGCTGTCTACGGCAAACTGCTCCTCTTTGAGTATCGTCACCGCAAGATGAAGCCAGTGCAGATGGTGCCAGCCATCAGCCAGAACTGGACATTCCATGGTCCTGGGGCCACTGGCCAGGCTGCTGCCAACTGGATCGCTGGCTTTGGCCGTGGGCCCATGCCACCAACCCTGCTAGGTATACGGCAGAATGGGCATGCAGCCAGCCGGCGGCTGCTGGGCATGGACGAGGTCAAGGGTGAAAAGCAGCTGGGCCGCATGTTCTACGCGATCACACTGCTCTTCCTGCTCCTCTGGTCACCTTACATTGTGGCCTGCTACTGGCGAGTGTTTGTTAAAGCCTGCGCTGTGCCCCACCGTTACCTGGCCACCGCTGTTTGGATGAGCTTCGCCCAGGCTGCTGTCAACCCGATCGTCTGCTTCCTGCTCAACAAGGACCTCAAGAAGTGCCTGAGGACTCATGCCCCCTGCTGGGGCACAGGAGGTGCCCCGGCTCCCAGAGAACCCTACTGTGTCATGTGAAGCAGGCTGGTAGGCAGACAGACAGGGAGTAGGTCATGGCCACCATGATGGGGCCAACAGAAAGGGAGGAGTAGGGGCCCATACAGGAGCCTTTCTTTCTGAGCTCCAGCTCCAGCCCCTCAAACCACCCAGAATCTAGCACCTTTGCCAACTCCTCCCCAGCTGTAGGGGACTTGGGAAGGGGTGTTTCTAGTTCTAGGGCCTGTCTCTGCTGCCTCTTTTTCCACTTCTACAATCAATCAGAATCAATCAGTCTCTCTCTCTCTCTCTTTCTCTCTCTCTTTCTCCCTCCAATTCAGAAAAAGAAAACAAACTGAAAATGCAGGTTTTTCTACTAACAGCTGAGGAGTCAGGCTTTCTTGCTTTAATGTCTCTCCTTCTGACATTGTCCAGAATGGGGAAATTTATCCTGTAAAATAGACTTCCAGATCTCTTCTGGCCCCCTCTGCTCCCATGCACCCTCCCCTTCCAAGTCCTTTAGCAAGGCCTGGATATTTAGGGAGAAATTGATCTGTTGACAAGAGGGACCAAAGGGGGTGCAGGTTCCCCAGGGAGCAGGGATGTTTAATTGCTATGTTGTGTGCAATGTTGTTTTAGGCTAACCCTGGTCCCAAGCCCAGTCTCCTCTTGCTTCCCACTATGTCCAGACATCCCAAGTGTTTCTTGAGCATCTGTCTGAGAAGCCAGGAGAGGAGGGAGAAGGCCCCCCAGGATGGGCCCAGGCTAGGTGAAGAGCAGGATGTGAGCTGCACACCTGGAGCTGAAGATATGAGCTTAGCTGTGTTCTCTCAAGCTGCCTCCTGGATTCCCAGGCTCCATCTCTTCTTTCTGAGGATGGAAATCCACTCTAGTCCCACTAGGGCTGATGTGGGTAACATACAGGCAGGAGCAGCCCCCCAGGGAAGTGTAGGGAGATAGTCAAACTCCCCAGAGTAGCTGGGTCCCAGAGCCTGGCATCAGAGCGGAATTCAAACCCAGAATTGTCTCCTGAGTTCACACTACTCTCCCAAAGATGAAAATTCTTTTGGGGCCTTGGCATCTCATCGTGGATAAGCTCCAAGGTACTGTGGATTTGAGTTCATTTCTATCTGACCTCTTTTTGTCCTCCTTAAGCCTCAGGGGCCTCAAGCCCCTCCGTGGTAACCCTTGGTCTTCTGGGCCCTCAACTCCCGACTTCCTTCCCTCCACCCTTCCCTCCACCCAAAGTGGAACAGACTAGCCAGATTCCCCAGGTGGGTGATTCCCAAGCTTCCCTCCCAGGGCAGAGTCCACTCTGGGATCACACCAAGGCCAGTTCTTATGGACTGGAGATCCAAGCTGGCACTCCTTTTGCCTGGTCTTGCCCAGGTTCTCTATCCCCTTCTCATTCCCTGGGTGGTGGGGGGAGATCTGTATTTATCCTTTCCTTTGCCTATTGAAACCCTTGTCCTAAGTTCCTGCCCTACCCTAACATGGCCCCAGAAGTGGGGAAGCCTTGACCCCCAGGAGAATGGGGAGGGCACTCTAAGCAGGAGAGACATTAATAAGCCTGGCTATGGAGTTGCCCTGGAAAGGCAGGCCAGAGTGGCTGAGAGGCTGGGGTGGGGGGTTACCTGTTCTCTCAGTGATAGTGATGGGGGTGCCTTTTCCAGGGGGTGGGGTGGGGGGATCACAGGGGTGGGGGTAGATAGGGTGCATTCAGGAGGGTTTTCCTCCATTTCTTTTTTCTAACTGCCTGGATTCACCATTGGATTTTGTAAATGGAAAACTGAAATGAACAATGCTATATTGGATGTTTTCTCTTTCTGACTGTGTGTATGTGTGTGTGTCTGTCTGTGTGGTCTGTGTGTCTGTGTGTCCTGTCTGCATGACCACATGTGGAGAGGTATGATCGAGTGTGACAGTGTGTCTGCGTGACTTTGTGTGGGGAGGCACCCCTGCTTGGTACACACATGTGAGTAAATGCCTGTATGTGGAGACATATGGCATGCACACACATACATGTATGCACCTAATTGAGAGGAGACAAACTATAGTATGTGCCTGCAGTGGAAGGAGAGTGGTTGGAGAGATGGAACTTGAAAACCGTATGCATGTATGTAGCAAGAGGGAGACTCCCATCTCATCATGTCTTCCTCCCTTGGTCCAGACTCTGAACATGGCAGATAGAATACTTGAGAACCCCATCTCTTCCCAAAGCCTGGAGCCCCCAGGTACCACTTTAAACTCCTGAATCAATCTCCTTTCCAAAACACAAACAACGTGTTCCTGAAACTGGACCACCATAGACAATGGGGATTGGGAATTAGGGATCCAACTTGGGGAGAACTGATAGACAGGAAATGCCCCCGACAAAGTAATGGCTTCTAGAGGAACTGCGCAGTCAGGGATGGGAGATCTTCTGAAGGATCTACTTGATACAGCTGGGACTTTGGTAAACTTTGGCTAAATTCAGAGGGAGGGATGTCACAGGAGGAGGGAACCCACGCCTGGGAGTCTACCCAGCCAGCCTGTTGCCTGGACACTCGATTACTTTATTATTTATTTACTTATTCTCTCAGAGGTGCACAGAATTGAGTTGACCATACTCCTCAGTTCTTGGCACACTGTATCATCACTGATCCATGTGAAGCCCTTTTATTCATTATTTTGTTGTGTTTTGTCCCCTTCATCACCCATTCCTGATCCCATTCCCCCCTCCAACACAGGCACCTACTCTCCTGTATTTAACATACATCCTTCCAATCTACCATTCATGTGTTTATTTACATATATGTGTATCTGTGAAAAATATATGGTATTGTTATGTGTTTTAATTTACATAAACAGTATTGTACTATAAATCTTGTTCTGTTTCTTTTTTCACTCAACATTCTGTTTTTGAGAGATCCAGCCATGTTGCCGTACATAGATTTAATTCATTCTAGTGGTCCATCTTATACACATATATCACATTTTCCTTATCCATTCCCCTGGTGATGGGTCTCTAGGTTGCCCCCAGTTCTCTGCTACAACAGGGCTACAATGGGCAGTTTTCCTACACTTCTCTTTAAGAATGCTTCATCTAGAGGAGGTGAAACTGAAGCTCAGAGAGAGTGTGAGTTATAAAGTAAGGAAGACACCCATGATTTGAATCCCGCCCCAAGCCAGAACCCCACCACCATGGCCACCGAGACTGTCCATCTGGCCAAAATAATTTTTGAAATACAGTTAAGAACAGTAGACTGGGGACAGGGAAAGGAGAAAGGAGGGGAAGAAATATTGAGTAGATGAAGACAGAAAGTCCTAGAAAAATCTAGTATATGAACTGAATCACACCATTTTAATGACGCATAGGGAGCTACTTTTTTTTTTTTGCGTGATTATTATTTCTAGAGCCATTTTGCAGAGATGGAAAATGCCACGTCAAAACCTGACCCCAAACCAAAGGTCCTAAGTCCAGGCTCATTTAAAACATCCTAAGCCCCCAGGAGCCTCATCAGTTTGCTGGAGGGACAAAAAGCTGGGGACTGGGACAGGGGCGGGGATAGATTTTTAAAGTGCGTAGTTGCCTAAGGGAAATGGAAAGGAGGGGAGGGGAGGGGAGGGGGGATGAACGACAGCTAAGCTCTCCAATTTGATTTGAACACGTCGTGCTCAGCTCCTGCGTTTGTTTTTTTTTTTGTTTGTTTGTTTGTTTGGGGTTTTTTTGGTCCTAAGAACCACTGGCAACATTGGTTAATAAAACTATATAGGTTTCAGGGGTACAACTCTATAATACATTATCTGTATATTGTATTGTGTGTTCACCACCCCAAGCCAAGTCTCCTTCCATCCCCATTTATCCTCCCTCTACCCTCTAATTCAATAAAAAAAAAAAAGAAAGAAAGAAAAAAGAACCACTGGTACTTTTCCCATTGGATGAAACGTTGAAAGGTGAGGAAGAAGAGCTTCTTCCCCTTAGCTTTTCTCACAGCCAATTGCCCAGCAGTTTCCCTCTGGTCGCTGGGGGCGGGGGGGGGGCCGGGAGTCAGCCCGATGATTGGCGGGCCAAGGAGAGCCAATGGGAAAGTGATGAGGTGGGGTGTCAGCTAGCAGGTTGCGGGAGAGCGAGCAGAAGTCTGGGGAGCGTGAGTGCCGCCTCTGCGGCCAACAGCCAATGGCGAGGCATACGGGTCCCTGACGTCAGGGAGGGGCGGGGCCTGGGCCCTTGGCGCGGAGGGAATTGGGCAGGCGCTGTGGGAGGGGACGCCAGAGCGAGGCTGTGAGCTGAGCTAGTCGCGTGAGGCACGGTGGCTCCGCTTCAGGTGTGACTGGCAGCAGCGACCTGGCTGAGAGAAGTGGCGAGTGCGGTTCCTCTTGCGGTGTGAGAGCGGTCACTATGGACCGCCCGGATGAGGGGCCTCCGGCCAAGGCCCGCCGCCTGAGCAGCTCAGAGCCCCCTCAGGACGACGTGCCGCCGCCGCCGCCGCCGCCGCCGCCACCGCCACCACTCCTGCGACTGCCCCTGCCTCCACCCGAGCAGCGCCCGAGGCTCCGGGAGGAAACTGAGGCGGCACAGGTGCTGGCTGACATGAGGGGGGTGGGACTGGGCCCCACTCTTCCCCCGCCGCCGCCCTATGTCATTCTGGAGGAGGGGGGAGTTCGCGCATACTTCACCCTGGGTACTGGGTGTTCCTGCTGGGATCCTGAGATCGAGTCTGGGTATGGGGGGGCGCCCCCTCCCACGGAGAGCTTAGAAACACTCTCTCCTTCGGAGGTTTCTGGGGGAAGCCTGGAAATCGACATTCAGGTTTCGGAGCCCGGCAGCTTTGATGGAGAAAAGGCCCTAGAAACCTGTAGCATAGGGGGGCGGGGGTACCAGATGTTAGCCGATCTACAGGGAAAGGAAGAGACCATCATCATAGTGGAAGACGATGAGGAGAATGAAAAGGAAAGTGTGAGGAAGAGGAGGAGGAGGAAGAGGAAGCACAGGAAGGTGAAGAAGGAAAGCGAAGAGATAAATGCCGAGAAGATAGAGTACATCCTGCAGGCACTGGAAAACATTCAGCTGGACCTGGAGGCAGTAAACATCAAGGCAGGCAAGGCCTTCCTCCGTCTCAAGCGCAAGTTCATTCAGATGCGGAGACCCTTCCTGGAACGCAGAGACCTTATCATCCAGCATATCCCAGGCTTCTGGGTCAAAGCAGTATCCTTGTCATCTATACTCATGGGTCAGGAGCCCATGACAGAAAGGGGGGGATGTGGGAACAGGGACAGAGTGAAAAGTGTGGGGGCTGACCCCTATTGAAAGAATGACTAGGTTTGGTGGAGGAGGGATGGAAGGAGGGGGGAAAAACATCAGAAAAACTGGACTAGAGATGGTGAAGGGGGAGGGACACAACATAAAAACTGGACTATGGATCAGAAAGAGGAATATAATGTTTAAAGATGCATCATTGACAGTGAAGGGGGGAGGGTAGTAGAGGGGCATACAGCAGAAAAATTGGACCAAAGATGATGAAAGGATGGGGGAGGGGCATGCAGAAGATAAACTGACTCAGAGACAGTGAAGAGGGAGGGGAAGGGCACCATAGCAGAGAAATTGCCCAGAATGGGTGCTTAACTCACACATGGCTCTGCAAACCCTAGGTATCTACCTAGATACTAGGGATACCCCAACCCTGGCTGGAGAAAAGGGGGCTAGAAAGTTGCTGGAGCCCCTGAAGGGTCAGAGGAGTACCTAGGAATGGAGATCAAGAAGTTAAATGAAGGAAAGGGGAGAGTAAGAAAATCCCAGTCACTACTCAGCTCATCTCAAGGATACATACAGACATGCAACATGTTAGGAACACATAGGTTTAACATCCTATCAGAATTACATAGATACAGATCCTTGGCATCCTCATGCAAAGTATACATGATCACAGACCCTCAGTACCTAGTGTCATTTGGACATAAACCCTCAGATCCAGACACATAATATGTGGTCAAAGACCCATAACACCCAAATATATATTATGTGACTATAGTCCCTCAACAACCAGATATAGCTTTACTTGGACATGGACCTTCAGCCTCCAGACATACAGTGTCTTGTGAGCACAACAAGCCCTTGGCATCCAGAGACACATCACATGGACATAGATCCTCAGCACCCACACACAACAAACAAGAACTGTGGCAGAGCCACCTGATGCAGAGGTTTGACAGCATAAACACAGACTCTCACCATATAGCATCATGGAAATAAAAGTACAGGTCAGGTCCCATGATGCATTTGCCTAACACATATCAAATGAACACAGAAGGAATTCTGCTCCAGCTTCTCTTGTTTTGCCCTGCCTGACCCGCTCTGCCTGGCCTTCCCTCCCTCCTTCTCTCAATGAACAGTCACTCCTTGACCTAAACTGCTCCCTCCCTCAGTTCCTCAACCACCCCAAAATTTCAATCTTGATCAACCAACGTGATGAAGACATTTTCCGCTACTTGACCAATCTGCAGGTCAGGCCAAAGAGATTTTCTTTTTTACTAAGACTGGACAAGGAATCTGGTCCTTGGAGGTGAGGGAGGATTGGGGGGGGGTGTGGTAAGGTGAGGATTCCATCATTACCCTCCACCCTGAGCAGGTACAGGATCTCAGACATATCTCCATGGGCTACAAAATGAAGCTGTACTTCCAGACAAACCCCTATTTCACAAACATGGTGATTGTCAAGGAGTTCCAGTGCAACCGATCGGGTAAGAGGCACTCCCAGGGCAAATCCATGTACACTTGGCCAGTCCCCTCTCCATAACCTTTTCCTCTAGGCCGGCTGGTGTCTCACTCTACCCCAATCCGTTGGCACCGGGGCCAGGAACCCCAGGCCCACAAGCACAGGAACCAGGACACCAAGCACAGCTTCTTCAGCTGGTTCTCAAATCACAGCCTCCCAGAGGCCGACAGGATTGCTGAGGTGGGCCCTCCTGGTAGTACCAGAGAAGGACTTGCTAGGCTTGCCTCTGGGTGCCTGGGGAATTGGGAGTAGGTTCTGGGGCTTGTACTTATAGTTCTGTTTTCCCTTCCCCCTTCTCTTCCAACAGATTATCAAGAATGACCTGTGGGTTAACCCTCTGCGCTACTACATGATGGGTGAAGGTGGCTACAGGGCCAAAAGAAAGAAGCAAGAAAAGAAAGAAAGGTGATGGGGAGGTTGGAGGCTGAGAGGTGATTTGTTAGTGTCGCATAGGATTTATTAAGCCAAAAGGGACCTTGGAGATAACTCAGTCCAATATGTTTTACAAGTGGAAAATGATGCCCAGAAATGGGGTGTGATTGGCCTGAAATTACACAGTCAGGGGCAGAAATGGGACTCTTCCCACCCTAGTTTCATCCCTGGGATCCCTTGTAGCCTACTGCCTCCCCATTTACTTACCACCTTTCAGTAGTCTGTTTTGGGTACAACATCTCTCACCAAACTTCTATTCAACCCCAGGCTTTCCCACAGTAAAAAGAGGAACAAGTATGAGGTGGTGATCATGGAAGACTTTGATGACTATCAAGTAATGGAAGATATTATTGGTGAGACCTCAGACAGTGATGTTATCACTGACAATGAGACCATTCACGACATCAAGATATCTGACTTCATGGAGACCACTGACTGCTTCGAGACCACTGACAACGAGATAACTGACATCAACGAGAGCCTCTGTGATAGCGAGAGCCTCTGTGACAGCGAGATCCCAGACCACAGTGAGACCACTGACAACAATGAGATTGCCATTGATTACAAAAATCCTGATGATAACAATGAGAACACTGACGGTGATGATGAGAACCCACAGGGTGGCAGCTACAGCAACAACCTGGGCAGCAGTGATAGTGACAATGATGGAGACAACGAGGCCAGTGATGATGAAGATAATGATGGCAATGAAGGTGACAGTGAAGGCAGTGATGATGACGGCAATGAAGGTGACAATGAAGGCAGTGATGATGACGACAGAGACATTTATGATTATGGGAATGACACTGAAGAGTCTGAGAAGGATCAAGTTAACAGCAGCTACCTGTATGAATATGATAATGAGGTAGAGACCTTCTTCGAAGAAGAATCATCAATGGAGGAAGAAGAGGAGGGTAGTGGGGAAGGTGAGCTAGATCCCTCTCTTGTCTTCCCTCCTTTGTCTTTTCTCAGAGAAAAGCTGGCCAGTGTCAGGGAATCAAGACATGAGCACAATCTGCCCTTGTGGAGAAAATGAAAAAGCATTCTGTACAACTTTTAAAACAAAGACCAGAGAACATTTAACTCACAAATGTAACAAGATCAAAGAAACATTTCATTTGTAGGTGATGGGTAACAGCAAAAGACAAAGAAGAAGGAAGAGATAGGAGAGTGTAGGTCAAAAACAGGACTGGTTCACATATGGGGGCGGGGGTGGGTGCATGGAAAGTAGCAAACACATTGCAATTCAGTACACTTTGTACCCAACCCTGGCCTTCTGGCAAATCCCAGTTCTGTTTGGGGAGCTGAGGCTGAAATGGACATTATGCTTTGTGAGCCCAGAGGAGGGAACAGTTAATTCTACCTTAACGAGGAAGGGGAAAACTAGAGAAAGGAAGTGGCATTTGAATTGGAGGCTGCATTCGTCTTAAGGAGTATTATGGGGCATTCTTGGTGGAAGGGGGGATCACATGAACGTGGAAGGGTGAAAATGTGTGGTATGTTGGGCACAGTTTCTCAAATTGTCTTCTGAGAACCCTTCACCAGTTCTGAAAGTTGCTTTACACAAAAAGGTTTAGTGATCAAATATGTTGGGAAAATACTACATATAGTAATATCTTCATGTAGTCACCTGTACATTAGCACCTTAAAGGCTCTGAGTAGTCCCACTGTAAGAAACCTATTTAAACTTTGTGGAGCCCAGTATTTTTTAAGCTTTTTGACCACAGAAGCTACTGCTCACCAGAAAATGTGTTTTGGGAAGTGCTATGTTTGAAGGAAAAGATGGTATTTAAGGTGACTCTCAGGTTTGGTTCTGGCCTGGATGACTGGCGAAAGGAGGTGCCATTTCCTGGGATGGGGAATGGCACCATGGTGAGATTGATGGGATGCAGGGAGAAGCACAGAGTTGGAAGGGCTTGTCGGACGTAAGGTGGGCCTCTGGGGGAAGAACAACCACTCCTGTGGGTTTTGACCATGCAGTCAAAAACTTCCATTGAGGGCAGGGGCAGGGGACTGAGGAAGGAGGCATTGAATGAGTGAGTAGACCCAATCTAGACATTTTCAGGTTGACTGGGGAAATTGAGGGAATTGCTGGCCCCATACCCTCCCACCAGATGACACTTCTGTTGGAGGAGAGGCAGAGTTAGCTGCCTAGCCCTAGGGTGGGAGTGGGAGTGGGGGTGGGGAATTGGGCTGAAGACAGACTGGGGCCTGTTTCCATCACACTGTGGAGAAGGAGCTGACTCCACATGAATAGGTTTATTCAGCTGAGTTCACAGCTCAGGAAAAGACACATTTGATGCATACAGTGGGAGAAAAGGCTACTTTAAGAGATGTATGAACTTTGTTTGGATAGAGGCAAAGAACTCACCCTATTCTCCCTGCGCCCCCCACCTATCCATGGTTGCTTGTTCCAAGCAGAGGTGCTTGGGGAATGATCCTTCCCCACCAATAGCCCATCTAACCACTCTCTTACATTTTCTGGTCCCCCCTCTCTGCCCTGTGCTGCCAGGAGGTGAGGACAGCCATGACGAGGGAGAAAGTGAGGAGGAGGAAGGAATCAAAGAAGAGTGGGAAGACTCTGACATGGAGGAAGTCCTTCAGGTCCAAAATGCTTGGGTGGACCCCGTGAAGAGAGGCAAAATCGGATAAACAAACATCCCACCCTTGCCATTGTAGGGGCTACCTCTGTATTCCTCTCCCTCTCTCCCATTTGTCCTCCCCTTCAGCTAGGGCCTTGAAGCCCCACATTGCACTTCTGGGGGGTGACCAACTTCGTACACGGGTTTGAAGTTTATTTTTATGGTTTAGTAATTGCAGAGTTCTTTTGGGGAGCAGGGGGAGGGGGATTTCCCCTTTCCTTTGGCCCTCCCTCGCAGGCTTCTGTGTGCTGCTATGTATTTATTGTGATGCCTTGGTCAGGGCCCCTCTGTTCCCCTCCTCGTGCTGTATGGAGTGGACACCCTTGATCTTGAAGTGGGGCAGGCTGCTGTGGCCTTGGGGGCTCTGCTGCCACCCTGTTGTCCCAAGTCTCTTTCCCTCACCTTTTCCCGCTATGCCCGCTAGCCCGCATCGGTGTCTATGCAAGGCCGCTTTGCCATTGCGGTGTTCCTATCCCACTCCCCCAGAAGCCCTGCCTCATTCCCTGTGAACCCTGGTAATCCCAATAAAATTCAGAGCAAATTCAAAGTGCTGCTTTGAGTCTTTTGTTCTGCCCAGTGCGCTGTCCCCAGCAGCCCGTCTCCCTTGCTACAAGCCCTCAGGTACCCCGCTCTTCAAAGCACTAGCCTGCAAGATGGTAGTTGATAAAGAGTCAGTTGGGGATGGATTTGGCTGGCTGGAGTCGTGCTCCGCAGGGCCGCAGAGGTGTGGCGTCAGGCCATTGCGGACCATTCTGGCCAATGGCAGGGCGAGGTTGAGGAAGCCCCTCCCTCTCCCGTTGGGCCCCCGCAGTAGACTCAGCCAGGTAGCAAACAGCTTCCCACGCCTTCTCTCGCGCAGGCGCACAGAGACGCTTCGTGCTTTGTAACATCCATTTATTCAGTGATTCATCTTTTAATTTATCGTGCGTCAAACCTTTCCTCAGACCTAGTGTGAGCTGGGTGGTGGAGGGGGGAGCCAGAGGAATCCATTTTTCTCATTCGCATGTAGCAGGAAAAAATATCAGTTGGGACATCACGATCTAGTATTGCAAGAGTGCTCTCTCCTCTTAGGGCAGGGGTTCTGGGTCCCTGGAGCTGGGCCTGGGAGAGAAGACAAGAAAAGATGGGTCAGGCAGAGGAGTTTGCATAGAGATAAGGGCAAAGCAAAGGGAAATTACTGTGTAGCTGTGTGAAGCGGGGGTGGGGATCGGGAGTTGGGATTCTGAAAGGCAGACGTTATCTGGGAGACCTGGGAAAGGCTGAGATGTTTTAAATATTGGATACAGTAACTTTATTTCAAGGGACACCAGAAATACCTCCCAGATTCTTTCTGGATCGTAATGACAACTTATGTAGCCATCTGGGTTGGTCTTCTGCAATATACCTACAGAACTCCCCATCCAATGCCCTTACTTTGCTGGGGGGGATTCAGATTTGTGTTTTAGAGAATGCCCTCTGCTGGCTGCCAGAAGAAAGGATTGGAGGAAGAGAGTGAGCAAAGCTCCACCTCAGGTTGAGAGTGGCATGATGGGGTGTATATAGGAGGCTTTTTAATTTTTTCCTTAATTTTAGAAGTTTTTAATATATAGCATTATTGCAAAGATAATAGAGAGTCCCCATATACTTCACAGACAGTTTCCCCTAGTATTAACATCTTTCATTAGTATGGTACATCTGTCACAATTAGTGAATCCGTGTTAATACTGTACAGTTAACTAAAGTCCATACTTTATTCATACTTTATTAGTTTTCACTTAATTTCCTTTGTCTATTCCAGGGTGCCATCCAGGATACCACATTATATTTAGTCATCATGTCTTCCTAGGCTCCTCTTGGCTGTGAGAGTTTCTCAGATTTTCTTTGTTTATGATGACCTGGAGTCATCAACATTTGAGGAGTACTGGTCAGGTATTTTGTAGAATTTTCCTCAATTGGGATTTGTGTGATGTTTTTCTCATGATTAGAGTGGGGTTATGGGTTGAGGAAGGAAGACCACAGAAATACAATCCTATTCCCATTGCATTCACATAGTTAAGGCATAGCTATCAATATACTTTATCAGTGTTAATATTAACCTTGCTCTCCTGGCTGAGGGCATGTATGTCAGGTTTCTCTACTGTAAAATTACTCCTCTGCCTCCTATCAAATTTTGGAAGGAAGCCACTAAGTCAACGGTGTCAAATTCATTTTCACGGGGGGCCACATCAGCCTTGTGGTTGCCGTCAAAGGGCCGAACGTAATTTTAGGACAGTATAAATGTAACTACTCCTTAACAGTTAAGCAAGAGCTTGGCACTGTCACCAGGTAGAAACAAGGTGCCCGGTGGATAAAACAAGGGGGAGAGCTGGACTCGGCCCGCGGGCCTTGCATTTGCCACCTGTGTACTAAGTGTAGCTCATGCTTAGGCAGTGGAGAGTTATGTTCTTCATCTCCTCAAGGGCAAAGTATTTACAGAAATGAATTAGAATTGTTCCACACTAGAAATGTGTCTGTTCTATGAGAGCTTTTAAGATACTGGAATTGACGGGCTTTATTTTTTCCATCTTAAACAAGATGTTTATTAAACAACAAGGCACTGGAGATAAAGGGAAAACTGTCTAGGATTCATTTCTTTTAGAGTAATGTATTCCTACTTAAAGATAGATTGCCCTACATGTGACAGTTATGTACAAAATATTATAAATTTTTCCTTGGTTTTACAATGATAGATAAAAAAAAAACATTAAAACTCTCCAATTGAACAAAGCATGCAAGAATTTTATGTTTTTCTTTTTTCTTTGAAGATTTTATTTACTTATTTTTAGACAGCGGGGGAGGGAGGGAGAAAAAGAGGGAGAGAAACATCAATATGTGGTTGCCTCTCGTGCACCCCCAACTGGGGACCTGGGCCTCAACTCAGGCATGTGCCCTGACTGGGAATTGAACCTGTGACCTTTTGGTTCACAGGCCTGCACTCAATCCACTGAGCCACACCAGCAAGGGCTTATGTTGTTCTTTTTTGTTAAAAACAGGGAGAGCAAAATAACTTGCTGGAATATAAAGATAAGGGCTGAATGTGCATTCCACTAATGGAGAAAGTGGGTATTTTCACTGAACTAGTATTTATCCCCGTCCCATCTCCATTTGATGTTGATCAAAACATACAATTGGTTTTCTAGCCCTCAAAGGAAATTAAACTTTTGTGTGAATAGATAAACTGATTAAAAATGTGAAAAATAAACAATATACCATTGGCCATTTGTTGTAATTAAAAATGCAAATTCTTGCACATACACATCAGTTACTTTATGTACAAGAAAGGAATGGGGAAGGGGAAAGCAAAAGAATAGAGAAAAGTATGCTGTAGTCAGGATGCGGTGAAACAAAATTGTGGTTTTCTAATTAAGAATGCCTTCTTGGTCTGGAGGAACAAAGTTCTGGAGTAAAGTAGCGGGTTCTCTTTTTGGTAGCTACCTCCTGTCTGCTGCTGCCAGAATGCATCAATTTTATTTTCATACTCCATTTCCAATTGTGCAGGTGTGTCTGTTTCATTGATTGGCTGCCTGTCAAATTGGAATCTGATCTGCCTCATTGACAAACCCTGTAGTTCACAATAGCCTTTCATTAGTTTACTATGTGGTTTATGCCTCAATCTTAAACTGCACCACAGAACCATTGTACCCCACCACCTTCAAATTAATATGATAGTTATTCCCAGTCTTGACTCCCTTGGGCTTTTCATCAGCCTTGGCAAGTGGGAAAGTCTCCTCAGCTACCACGAGATGAGTGCACAAGCAGGAACAGGAGCAGTAGAAGCTGACAGGCTTTAGATATGGAAAAAGAAGGATTGCGAGAAGTCAGGGATGACTACAAGGTGTCTGTGGATTCTTTGTCAAAGCTCCTTCCTCTCTGGGCCTCCTCTCTGAAATGGTTGGAATACCAGATCTTGGACATACACCATGATTCTGATAAATGTTTTGGGAAGAGCGTGGAGGTTTGGATGCCTCTTGTTGTGACCTGGGACTGCACTGTCAGAAGTGGGTAGAGGAGACTGTGGCCCAGAAATGGGAACATCTGGCCTCAGGGCCAGAGCTGAGAATGCAGGAACCTGAGCCAAGGCATCCTGTGCATAGGGAAGAGACTACTATGTGCAATATCTGGAGCCAGTCCCAATGAGCACGTGGTGAAGTGTAAGGAAGGACAGAGCAGCAGGGACAAAGGCCTGAAGTGGGCTGGGAAGAGGTCATCCTGGCAAGAGGATGCCAGCCAGTGTGAGAGACAGACAGACTCGGTATCCTTGCCTCAATCTGCTGTGCCTCACAACATGACTCCCTGGCCCCTTCTAGAGGGCCTCAATTTTCCCATCTGAAAACTTAGGCTAATCATGCTTGGGAATCAGTCCAGGAGAAGCAACCTGCCTAAATTCCCAAGATGGAATCCAGCCTTAAAGTAGATTCCTGAAGCTTGGTCTTCATCACGCTCTTCCCTGGTTCCTCTCAGTCTTCCTAATCAAATCCCCAGCTCTTCATCCTCCATTTGAGGCTCCTCTTCACCCACCCTGTCAGAGAGGGCCTCTGGCTTCAGGGACACTGTTCAGAACTAAGTACGGGATCCTAATATACAATACTTAGCTAGGCTGCTCATGTCCTGCCTGAGGTATGGGAGAAGATGTTCTTTGCCTAGAGTGATATCTTGTTCCCTGTGTCCTCACACCTCAGAGTATTGTGTGGCTTCAGGTTCTGCCCAGTCTGGGCCTCCAAAAGGAATAGTCTGTTCTAGAAGGTCTTTAAGGTCACATCTAACTCCAAAATACAGTCTTTGCTGAAGACCAGAGAAGACAGGCCCCATTTGCTGGGACCCTGAACAGAAAGTAGGAGGAAGACCAGGAGAAGAAGGAGGGGTTGTAAACGCAACACACCCCAGGGCCTGTTCCCATGTTGAAGCTAATTGCCTTTGTGTCTTTCACAGCTCACCCCATTCCCCTGCAGCAGAGGGCCCTGCTCCTGGGGCTGAAGTTCCCAGGATCTCCTGGGGCCAGACCTTTAAAATGCCACTCACTTCTGTGAACCAAAGATTGGCAAAATTGAATGAAAACTAGATTCATGAATATCTCTTTTTCTTAGGTCACCACAAGGGCCACCACAAGGAGCACTGGCTCTTTCAGTTGGGGGTGTGTAGGATGGTTAGGGAGGAATCTTATTATTCATACGGTAAACATTTATTGAGCATCTACTGTGAGCCTGATACTGAACTGGGTGATAAGGATATAACAAAGAAACATGACAGACCAGGTCTTTGTTCTCCCAGAGCCCAGAGTTTAAGACAAGTATCTTTTTTAACCTTGATTGTATTTTTTTACTTTTTTCAAATAATTTTTTATTTTTCAATCATATTTGACATACACTATTATATTAATTTCAGGTGTATAACCCAGTGTTTGGACATTATAACTAAGTGATCACCCTGATAAATCTTGTACCCATCTGACATCATACATAGTTATTACAATATTCTTAACTATATTCCCTACACTGTACTTTACATTCGTGT